GAGCTCCATGGAAAATCCTACTTGGATACCTTAAGGCTGCCATCGAACCAGTAGTTTTAAACGTTTAAATATTTCAAAAGATATATATTAGCATTCCAAAATTAATAATTGTATTATAAACAGATAACGCAGAGGTGTATAGAATTATGATGAAACGACCCAAGGGATTTGATTCATGGTATTCTCCGACGTGATTGGGAGGTAAGGGAAAACAAGATTGCCGATGCATTGGGTGGTTCAAAACGTGGTAATCCCATTGGGTGGTTCGCCTCCAGATTTCCTGCAGGCTATGCTTGAAGAAGATAGCCATAATTAGTCAGTCTTTGGTCTCTGTATTAACAAAAGAAAATTAATCAACCGAACAACTTTTGTTTACCGTCAGTGCAAGGCATCATTCGTACAATAAAACCAAATATGAGATGGAATTCTTAGAGACAGATGTTGAGAGCTAAATGCAAAGATAATTAAAAAAAATTGTAGTTGTCACTCCGAAGTGGAAGAAGGAAAAGGGAGATTTTTAGATGTGTGATCTGTTATCCGGATATCATTTTATATGAGGTTTTTTAAAATAAATTGAGATAATTAAAAGATTATATTTATTTAGAATTTTTTTAATTAATTAATAATATATACCCTACCGTTGCAAAGAAACCTTGAAAGATTATTATGTAGAACTGAAAAATCTTGCCATGAAACTGTTGGACCTTATGGCAAAAGCTTAAGGATAGACTTTAATGACATAAAAATAAAATACACACAAAATATAAAATTTAACGTGATTCGATTTTATTTCGACGTATAAAAGGAATAATCATCGGCTAGTAAAAGAAAAGGATCGAAAAAGAGAAGGATAATATTCTTATAAATGCATGGAGCCTCCTGCACCCATGTGCAACATCGCTACAATCAGATTCAATAATCAATTTACCAAGATGTTTTGATGCTAGTGCAGCATATGCAGTTGGTTTTGTTATGTACTGTTTTGGTTTTATTTTATTTCACAAACACACTTAGAATACTAATATTTAAAATTTATTAAATTAGAATACTAATATATATTTTTAAAATATCAAACTTTTAAAACTACACTTCTTAGGCAGCCTTAAGGTATCCAAATAGGATTTTCCACGGAGCTCGCGTGAAAGAAAACCTTTGAAGTAATCAGCAACGCCTAGTCTGGAGTTTGTGGAGAAATCAGGCTTGGTGCTGGTCCCATTTCTCCATCCAATTTCGGGCTGTAGAATGCTGCAACTGATATCCTCTCTTTAACTGAGTTCACCGTCGCACGATGCTCAACGCTGCTGTAAATCCCGTTGGATACTATCTGCAAACTCAGACACCAATTATTATTCATCTGCTGATCATATGCAGCAGAAAATGGTGGACCTAAGTTAATAATTACCTCCATAGTGTCTCCGATGTTGATCACAAAAGCATTTGGAAGTGGTTTAATGGGAACCCAAGCCCCATTTTTCCTTACCTGGAGACCTTCCGTCTTGTTGATCTGGAGTAAAATGGTGAGGCCAACAGCATCAGAATGAGAGTTTAGACCAATTGCAAGCTCTGGCTGTGGACATGGGGGATAATAGTTCATCCTCATCCCCTGGTGCCCTTCTTCAAACAAGACCCTCATGTTATTAGGATCCATCCCTAAAGCTTTTGCCATCAGGTCCAACAGTTTCATGGCAAGATTTTTCAGTTCTACAGAATAAGCTTCCAAGGTTTCTCTGCAATCAATTATTTAAGAACATTCAGTTGGAAGGGTGATCATGTAGAACATATCAGCCCAGTTAAGCTTCTGATCTTCAGAAAAAACAAAGGCCTGCCCGAATCCCTCTATTTCATCTGGTTTTTGCCAAAGCAGCTTCTTCTCTTGCATTGGAAGATTGAAAAACCGTTGGACCTCCATCTTCATTTTCTCCACCAATGAAGAGCTCACCCCATGGTTGATTAACTGCAGTAGGGCTCCATCTTTTAAATTAAAACCCGAAAAACTCATATAATACTGCTTAATCTCAGTGGATAGTTTTGAAACGGAAGTATAAAGCAGCATATAGGTAGGAAAAAACATGAACCTGGAAGAAACCCCATTCTTTGCATGCATGATGCAACTGCTCCAGTTCTTGTTGGGAGAGTAACTTTTGCATATCCAAAACAGGAACTTGTGGCGACGGATTTGTGTGAGACACGATGGGAGAGTCTTCATCGGTACGTACGTATGGAGGTGGGAGTTTTAGCAATGGCTTCTTTGCTATCTCTTGGACACTAGGAACCAACAGTGAACTCCCAAGCTTTGGTGCCTCTGGTTTCATTTTTCCTAGGCATTTCAACATGATTTTGCTACCTCTGATTCAATTTAGAGTATGTGGTGTGTATTAAAAACCAACAAAATTCTATTGCCCCAAAAATTATCCCCTAACTGTGTCCTACCAATTCTTTTATGACACATGTCATCAATTATCGTACGGAAATTTAAAACTTATATGTTTTAAGAAAAATATTGAATGAAAATATTAATTTATTATATAAAATATATTTAGTTATTTCATTTACATATTATATTTAAAAGTTAATTTAAAAGGTAAACTATCTATTTGGTCATCCATCTATTTATGTATAACTATTTTAATCATCATTTTTTTTTCCAAAAATCATTCTTAATATTTTGTTTTATTTCTATTTTGGTATCTCAACATTAAGTTTAATAATTAATCACCGACGTATCTGAATTAAAATATTTCACGGCTAATTATTGATTTGAACGTAGAAATATCATTAGTTGAGAATATCGTCAGTTACAACGATATCGAAGTACAAGAGGAACATCATAAGTAAAATCCAACGGCGACGAAGTGGTTCTGCAAACTTAGTCAAAGTATGATCCACACCCATTAACAAAACGACGGATGGAGCAAATGCAAAAAGATGGATGAGAATTTAAAATATGCCGAGTCTCAACCAAAATGAAATGAAGCATAGAAAAATCAGTCACGTAGTGCAACACTTGATTGATAATATTGGAGGTGTCACTCTGAAGAAGAACCTGCGAATAACCCATCTCAGCGATAACCCGAAACCCATAACAAATATCATGTGCCTCTATGATTCCACAATCTCGGGGCCCTGTAATACATTCTTCACGACCAACAAGCATAAAAGCGTGAATCCCCCATCTCGTCGGCGGGAATCCCCACCTCGTTGTCCGCCGATGCAAATCCCCTCCCCCTTCCTTGCACAAATCCCTCCTCCTTTATCCCTAGTTCATGCTTCAATTAATCACATTTTAATGACAAATTTGGGATTACAGTTAGGGATTTGTGTATTAGGTTTATGAATTTAGGGGGTTTGAGACAACGACGAGAGAGATGGTCGATAGTGGAGGTCTGGTGACAGGTGGGTGGTGGTTTGACGATAGTTGTTGCTGATAATAATGCTACAACATAATCGCAAGCATGCGTATCGAACAAATAATAAAGTGGAAGCATTTTTAAACTTTAGATGTCGAACCCACATAGAGCAAAGTTATTTACACAAGAGTTAACAGATAGAATTGATGAGAGTATGACATGCAATTGAAACAAATATTAAAATGAAAGATTTCAATGAAAAATGGTCTAGGTCATGCTACAACATCGAGTATAGCCCAGAGTCAACTATTGGATGGTGCAAAATGATAAAAGAGATCTTATGTCGTATTAAAAAATGGTTGTCCCTTGTTCCATATGTAATGGGGTAAGAGGAAGGTAAGATAGTAGGTTGCCCAATCAAATAATCAATTTGGTAAATATGTAAAATACTTGGCAGCATATATCTCAACATGCAATTGCTTCTCACAATACCAAGGCCACAAAGATAGCATGCATATCATCAGGTTCATCTTTAAACTAAATGATCAACATGCTTGAACAATAAAATCTTTTTCATCATTCATAAGTTCAAGGCACAATGTAATAAACTCAAAAATTCATAATAGCAAAATATCCAACTAAATTGCTAAGTTCAAGACAATTAACATTCAAAATAATAGTAATTCAACTATCCTAGAACTCCCCTATCTCAGACGGAGGATAAGTAAGCTAAAGGTATCTCTTTGTTGATTGTTGATACTATTAGGCTAAGGCTCTTCCTCGAATGTTGCAGCCCTTCCCAGCTAAGCGGCTTAAGCTTAAGCAACCATGGAAAAGGATGAGAAGATTTTTTAGAGAAGAGAGGATGAAGATTTGATGCAGAAATGAGCTAAGGTCTGCCCTATTTATTGGTAAGGGGTGTCAAATCCTCTCAATGAGAGTTTTCTACTTTGCAGATGATGATAGGAGAGGATTACAACTATCCCAGCCAGTTGTCCTATTCCAGAATGTTCTGCCTAACCACAGTGAGTCATCACTTGATGTAGCATCTACTCCAATGTTGTAGCATCTTGCACCTTTTTTAGCAGAAAAACCAGAAATTAGTCCAAGTTAACCAAATTCCTAATAATGTAATCCTAAAATGTTTTAAGACTAATTTAATCCTAAAATAATGTAAAAATATATGCAATTAAGATTAATTTAATCCTAAAATGCTTTTAAACATGCTTAAATTCAAGCTAAACCTAGGTATAAAGTGCTAACATGATAACTCTTTTGGAGAGTTATCAATGGCAAAGGCGACCGGTGATGACCAACACAATTGATAAATAAAGTTGAAATAAATGATTTTAGGGTTTTGGGTTTTTTAATTTAAAAAAAAAAGTTAGATTTTTAAAAATTAATAATATTCATAAGTTCTTAAAATTGCAAATGAGAAAACCTTATCCATCTACTTTAAATGAAAAATTATTCAAGCATCTAATGTTAACAAAAGGTATAGTTTGAACATTCATTTTTTAATTAAGCCTTTAATAAATAAATACTTATTCTAAGGAAAATAAAATAAAATCTCTTAATGATAAAGTATTTTATTCTATAAATATATGAAAATTCAACAACCCAATTAATATGGGTTCAATTGGATTCCCACATAATGGGACCACACCCAACACATTATGAGGATATTTTTTTTATCTCATCCTCTAGAGATGGATTTGTTTAATATACCCGTAGTGGAGATTTAAGTTTGTCTTCTCTTGTAGGTTCTGTGCATCTGTTTCGTTTTGTTTAATCGGCTCTTGTTTTCATTTTTGCATCTAACGTGTGTTTTTTGTGATTGTGTTGCAGCCTTAAGAATCGAGATAGCTCTGTTGCTGTGTTTTTCGTGGTCGTTCTATTTATGCTGCGACTATTCTTTCTCATAAATCAGGAGATAGGCAAAATCCATACTCTAAGATATGTCCACGGAAACAGAGTTAGCAAAGCTAGGAGGCTCTCTCTTGGCGCCTAGTGTCCAAGAGTTGGCTAAGGAGCCGTTGCCAAAACTTCCACCTCGATACGTACGCACCGATGAAGACCCTCCTTTCGTCTCCCACACAAATCTATCAGCACAAGTTCCCGTTATAGATATGCAAAAGTTGTCTTCACAGGAAGAAAGGGATCGGTTGCATCGTGCATGCAAAGGATGGGGGTTCTTCCAGGTAATTGTTTTCCCGTTTCTCAAAATATAGATTCAGATTTTGGGTTTTGAGATTAAAAGATGGAATTGTTTTGCAGTTAATCAACCACGGAGTGAGCACTTCATTGGTGGAAAAAATGAAGATACAGGTCCAAGAGATTTTCAATCTTCCAATGGAAGAGAAGAAGAAGCTTTGGCAAAGACCAGATGAGATTGAGGGATTCGGGCAGGGCTTTTTGTTTTCTGAAGAGCAGAAGCTTAACTGGGGAGATAGGTTCTACATGATCACCCTGCCAACTTATTTGAGAAAACCCCACTTATTCTCTAATCTCCCACTCGCCTTCAGGTTCTTTTTTATCTGCACCTGTCGAGTAAATTCCATGGTAGTATCTTTTAGGTTGATGGGATAAATTTATTGCAGAGAAACCTTGGAAGCTTACTCTTTAGAACTGAGAAATCTTGCCATGAAACTATTGGAACTTATGGCAAAAGCTTTAAGGATGGACTGTAATGACATGAGAGTGTTGTTTGAAGAAGGGTACCAAGGGATGAGGATGAACTATTATCCCCCGTGTCCAGAACCAGAGCTTGCAATTGGTCTCAACTCTCATTCTGATGCTGTTGGCCTCACAATTTTACTCCAGATCAACGAGATGGAAGGTCTCCAGGTAAGGAAAAATGGAGTTTGGGTTCCGATCAAACCACTTCCAAACGCTTTTGTGATCAACATAGGAGACATCATTGAGGTAATTATTAATTTATGTATCATTTTCTACTCCATATGGTCAAGAGATGAATAACATTTGGTGGTTTGAGTTTGCAGATAGTATCCAACGGGATTTACCCAAGCATTGAGCATCGTGCGACTGTGAACTCATTTAAAGAAAGGGTATCAGTGGCTACCTTCTACAGCCCGAAATTGGAAGGAGAAGTTGGTCCAGCACCAAGCCTGATAACTCCAAGAACTCCACCGCAGTTCAGGAGAATAGGAGTTGTTGATTACTTCAAAGGCTTTCTCTCCCGCGGGATCCGTAGAAAATCCTATTTGGATACTCTAAGACTGAATTTGAAGGATTAGTTTTAAAATACTTGTGATGGTCATGTAAAGTTCAATGTTAATGCATCGGTTGTGGGAAATTCAGTGACCTAATTTCGTCGGAGAATAATGTCTATATGACAGATGGTTGGGGTGTGGTGTTTCTTTTGCGTGGGATTAAGTGATTCATTTGTATTTCTCTGGTGGCACTGTCAGTTGTAACTTCATGTCTTTGTAATATCTCACTAATAATTTAATAATATGAAGGAAAACCCGGATCCAATTGTTGACAAATTATTCTGTGTTGATGGTAATTTGCTTTTACAAGAAAAGTTTTAAAATTATTATATATAATATCTATACCCATTATCATTTAATAATGAATGAATTCTATTTTGATTATCATTTTTATTTTTTAATTAAATTATTTAATTATTATGAATTAAATTATCTATTGTTAATATTTAATCAAGAATTGATGTGACAATTAAAAGAATTGATATAGTTATATATTTGGTCATCGTTACTTACACATTCAATCAATTTGGTTTAAATTTTAATTTATTCAATAAATTTAATTCTTCATGTATCACTATCTGATTGAAAAGTTTTTCTTAAGTTTAATTTATTTAGTTAAAATAATATTTTACTCTAATTAGATGATGATATGTATCACCCTTAGATAAATAATCTCTTGTCTAATTATATTTTACCTGAGGACCGTTGATGGAAATACGTTTATAACATCAACAACAACAAAATCCTATTCTCATATGCAATGAGGTAAGGGGAGGTAGGGTTGTAGGCTGCCCCAACGCCAGGTTGAGAGCAGTTTCCGTGGAAGACCTCCGGCAGTAAAAAAATTAAAAATAAAGATAAAATGCAATGCGTGTATAAGTAAATAAATAAACACATAGTTCTATATACCTAATTTTGATTGCTATTATGCTATTTTTCTCAGAGATAAATAAAATTATTTTGAGAGGGACACTCTCGAATTACGCCTTTTAATAAGACTCTCTAACAATGATTTTTTTATTAAGTAGAGAGATTGATAAGTGCTTATTTTAGTTAATATTTTACTTTTAAATTACTCTTTAATCATTGATTTTTGTGGTTTATTTGTTCATTTTAATTCATTTTCTATACAGGAAGTAAGATTTGTAAATTGCACAAAAAAGACACAATTCTGCAGTTTTTTTATTTTCGGAATCAAAGCTGACTGAATTCAAATTTGACTTAAACTCAAGTTTAGGATAATATTTTAAAAATATATTTTATCTTTGTATTTTAATTTAATTAGGTTTTAGTATTTTAATTAAGTTTTAGGACATTATTTTTGTTTTAGGTATTTTAATTTAAATAGGTTTTAGTATTTTAATTAGGATTTAGAATATTATATTATTTTTTTAGGTATTCTAGTTTAAATAGTTTTAAGCGTTTTAATTAGGATTTAAGATATTTTAGCTTGTTTTTAGGAATTTGAAGGATATAAATACACTCTAAGAGTGAGCCTAGAAACATATCTCTCTCATCTGAGAATAAAATCTTCTTTTTCTCTCTTGCTTTCTCTCTATTTTTCGCATACTTTTCTATTATGCTAAGTATGATTTTTGTTATGCTTAGCAAATTTTCTTTCAAGCTGAAAGCTAAAGTGAAGGTTCAATTCCAAACGTGAGAATTGTTAGGTACTTAAATCGCTTCGGATTTTCTCTCTGTTTTTTGAGCTTACTTTTCAAATCAAAACGAATTCGACATTGGTCCGGATATTGTTCTGGTTAACGTTTGAAGAAGGAATTGCTTATTGAAGCATATTCAACTTCTCGATAACACACTTAGCAAAATTGTTTCTAAGAGGAAACCGAGATCGGAATCAGTTGTTATTGAAACGACACAATCCGAGTTGGCATCGAAGAATTGTCCTTGTAAGCTAACGTGAATCTTGAAGTAAAAATATGTTTCGATGATCCGAGGAATTTTAGACAAAGCTGAAGGCTGAGGCTGCTTTACAATAAGGTTATCTTTATCTCAATCTCTTTAATTTATTTATTTAATTATTTTCTTTTATTTCATTCTTATCTTTTATTTTAAAAATCACTTTTAAAAACCCTCTTTTTATCTTTACAACTATTATTTATTATTATCTATTTTATTTTATTAAATCTTTTCAACTTCATCTAGAACTCTATATTCCTCTAAATCAAAAGAGTTTTACTAAATCACAAAAACCATAGTCTATGTGGATCGGCCCTACTTCTCTATACTACCTTTTTCTTTCTATTTAATTAAGAAGCCATAAATTATTTTGATAGCAAAACGACGGTTATCAAATTGGCGTAGTTGTCGGGGACTAATGACAAGTATTGATTTATTTTTCTAGTTTTTGATTTATGACCAAAGAAACCCAGGTGAATTAGTATATCTAGATCAGGAGATCAAAGCACGAGCATGAAGAATCCACGCACAAACGCTTCGGGAAAAGAGAAAAAGACAAGAATAACAAGAGCAAAAATCAAAAACAAAATCAAATTCGGACTCTGAACCAGACACATACAACATTCCGATGGCAGAAGAAGAACAAACGATCCGAGAACTAGCCACAGCTCCTGTCACTCAGACGTCATTATGCATCAATTTTCCTAGTGGCGAGACTCCGTTTCAATTAAAGACGTGAATCATTCATATTCTTCTCACTTTCCACGGCTTTCCCACTGAAGATCCGTACAAACACTTGTTGGAGTTCACATGGTTTGCACTAGCATGAAACCACAGGGAGTTATCGAAGATCAAATTAAATTGAGAGCTTTCCCTTTCTGTTTAACCGACTTGGCTAAAGATTGGTTCTTTTATTTACCTCCAAATTCAGTTAATTCATGGGCTAACATGAATCGAATTTTTCTTGACAGGTTCTTTCCAGCGGCTAAAGTAAGCGAGTTACGAAGGAGTATTTTTTTCCATTCAACAAAAGAGAGAAGAAAGTCTTTATGACTATTGGGAGCGATTTAAAAAACTTTGTGCATGTTGTCCACAACACGGATTAAGTGAGAAAATGTTACTTCAATACTTTTATGAAGGTCTTTTGCCAAGGGAAATGAAAATGGTGGATATCGCCAGTGGAGGAGTATTAGTCAACATGACCCCAACAACAGCAAGGGAATTGATTTCAACCATGGCAACCAACTCTCAACAGTTTTCAAGTGAACCCAGCTGACGGGTTCACGAGATAAATACTTTTCCCTTGAGAATAAGTTAGACAAATTAACTGAAAAAGTTAATTCACTTGTTGCAGGAAAATCTTGAGCAACAAGAGCATGTGGGACATGTACAAAGATAGACCATCCGACGGATTGTTGCCCACTGATACAAAAAGGAGGCAATGCAGAAATCAATGTCATAGGGAACTTTCCAGGTCCTCCACAAAGACAATACAACACATAAAGTAATGCTTACAATCCAGGATGGCAAGACCACCCAAACTTTAGCTATGCGGCAAATCAAATACCAACTTATCAACCAATGCCTCCTCCTCAATAGTAAACGCAAAACTCATCATTGGAGGAACTCATAGGAAAGTTAGCAATTTCATAAGAAAAGCTGATTGCATCCCAGGAAAAATTCCACAGTCGAACAGAAACACATCTTCAAGAGTTAGATAACAAAGTAAGCCGACTAGCTCAAACTATGGGAAAATTGGAATCACGAGGAAGACTACCTTCTCAAATGGAGTTAAATCCGAGAAAAAATTTAGTGCCATCACACTTTGAAGTGGAAAAGTTATCTCACCCGAAGTTCTAGCAGAAAAAGGCGCACATCAGGAAGAACAAGAGGACACACCACCTTCAGAAATACAAGGTACATCTAACTCACATCCTTCTCTTTCTTCTCAAGAAATCACGCCACCACCATTCCCATCAAGGTTGATGAAACGCGATAAAAGAGCTGAAGAAAAGGAGATCTTAGAGGTGTTCCAAAAAGTTCAAGTCAACATACCTCTTCTTGAAGTAATTCGACAAGTACAAAAGTATGCTCGATTTTTAAAAGAACTTTGCACTACAAAGAAGAAATAATGGGCACGAAAAGGTAAATTTGGGAGAACATATCTCTGTAATTTTTCAACGAAAACTCCCACCAAAGATGAAGGATCAAGGATCAATGTGTGACTTAGGAGCTTTAATCAACGTTATGCCATTATCTATTTATAAAATAATTACTAATGAGCCTTTGAAGGAAACAGGAGTAACCATACAGTTGGTTGATCGATCCGTGATCTATCTAGTGGGAATGATAGAAAATGTCTTAGTGAAGGTCGATGTATTATTTTTTCTTGCATATTTCTATGTCATTGACATGGAACATGATAGGTCGGATACTTATTCCGAAGTACTCTTAGGCCGACCTTTCCTAAGCACCGCACATACAAAGATCGATGTTAAAAGTGGCATACTGACAATGGAATTTGATGGTGATATCGTTGAATTTGATGTTTACAAAACAATGAAATGCCCTGATCATGTTGAAAGAATTAATTCTGTTGATATTATAGATCCTTAAATTGATGAATATATTGATCTAATCTTTCCATGGATCCTGAACTTTGCCATGAAGAGGAAGAAAGAGAGTTTGAAAATATTCATGCGATCAATTCTGATTTATTTTTACCTTCCTCTAAAACTAAACTTTTACCTTCTGTTTTGTAGGCACCTGAGATAAAATTGAAACAAATGCCAAAACACTTAAAGAGTGTCTTTTTAGGAGAAAATTTTACTTCACCGGTTATTTTTTTGGATAAGCTTTCAAAGCTAAAAAAGATCCGAAGAAAAACCTATGAGAAAGCCAAAATCTACTAGACAAAAATAAAAGAATTATATGATCGTAGAATTTCTCATAAGGAAGTTCTTAGTTGGAAAAAACGTATGAAGTGAAGGAAGTATTTCTTTCGAAACCTGTAGTCTGAATCAGGTCGTCGAGCTAACGACGTTAAACAAAAGCGATTGATGGGAGGCAACCCATTTCGTTTTATTTTTATTTTATTTATTTCATTCCATTTATTTTATTTTATTTTATCAGATGCTTAATTTTATTTTTCTCTAAACAGATTCGAATTCCGATCGAATATTTCTTACCATCTCTCGGGCTCGTCTCGTCATGACCGTGGCTGCGGTCGCCACTAGATTGGAGATTATTCATTTTCTCTCTCTTTGATTTTAAATTCGATATATGTTTTGTGACAAAACGGATTAAGTAAGGGGGGAAGGATAAGCATGTGTCAAATTTTTCCTTGACTTGTTTAATTGTTTAAAATTGAGTTATTCTGATGTTGATATGTTGGGATTGTTGGTTGCTAGTCTTGAATTTTGCTTTATACTCTTGCTTCCTTTTGAATTATGATCATGTTTTTTATCGAATTTAATTTGCATGATTGGTGATTGATATAGCTAGTGAATTTTTGTTGAGTATTGATATCTCATGCTTTTGTCGATAGAGATGAACTTGACTCAATGCATATAAACTTTTCTTGTGAGATTTGTGTAACATCCCAAACTATGGGTTAGTGACCAAATTGTAAAGTTTCAGAATTTGGTGACTAAAGTAGAAGAACAGATTAGTTCAGTGATTTATTTGGAAGTATTTCCTAAAAGTTGTTAGTAAATATTAAAGGAACTAAAGGGTAAAATGGTCATTTGATCATTTAAGGAATTAAATAATGTGATAGTGGGGATATATATTTTACACATGGGAAATGAGGGAAGCAATGTTTCCAGAATTCTCTTCTCCTCCTTTCTTCTCTGTGCGTGAAGCTCCAGCTCAAAGGTGAGTTTCTTAATTAGTTGGTTATTTGTTGAATTAAAAGTTGGGTTATGATTCTTAGGTGATACTTAAGCTTAAGGAAAGCTTAAGTTATCTTAAAATCAAAAGATAAATGAGTTAGGGAAGATTAAAGATTTGAGTTCTTGAGTGAATTTCCATAATGGAGTTGATAAGTTGAATTTGAAGCTAAATTTGACTTGTCATCAGCTTAATTAAGAAGTATTAAGTGTTAGAATTGAATTTGAAACATGTGAAAATAGGGTATGATTCTTGAAATTCCCAAAGAGGAGAGGATATTAAGGTTAAAGATGAGATAAATGAATATTAATGAGTTTAAGTATGTATATGAAAGTTAGGAATATGAAAGGGGTTGAAATATAAAGGATTTAATCCAAAAAGAATGAATTTTCGGGTTCAAAAAGAGGTTCTGGGCAGAGTGCATCAATGCACATTCATAGTGCATCGATGCACATTCATAGTGCATCGATGCATCAATGTTAAAACCCAGAAATTGTTTGAAGGTGTATCGATGCATTGGTAGTGCATCGATGCACTCTTTGAAAATAAAAACATCGAATACAATTAGTGCATCGATGTATAAGGCATGCATCGATGCATCCCAGTAATAAACAAACATCGAATACATTTTATGCACCGATGCATCAGTAGTGCATCGATGCATACCTTCATTAAAAGATGAAATTGCCTTTTCTCTTAGTCTAAAGAGTGAACCATTAGAGTATATTAGCTATGATACTAATATAGATCTATGTATGATGATGTAGATATAGAACGTGATCCCGTTCCGGATCAATTAAAAGATTATAATCGAATCAAAGCAAAGCTAAGGTGAGTGCACATTCTCTAGTATATGAGGTTCAAGGGAAAATAAGACTTGTGATAAGTCTATTTCCAATAGTGAAAAACATGAATTCATAGAAGTATGTATTTGTTATGATTTATATGTGTGCATGAGTATATGTGTTATTGATATAAATATGGTAAGTAAAAGGATTAATGGTGATGATAAGAATAATAATAAGGATAATGAAATGATAGGTATTGATGTGTTTTGTATGTATTGTAAGATGATATGTTTATGTGATAACATGATAAGATGACAATGATTTACATGTCATATGAACACATGAGAAATGTTATGAGCCATATGAAAGAGAAAATATATGTGATACGTGAGGGTGAATCCTATGTTTATATGAATATGAACTCATATGAGAATTGACATGAACTACGTGATTACATGTATATGTGAACGAAACCATGAGCTTATATGAATATATGATATGGTTACATGAATATGTAAAAGGATATAAAAGATAATGCCATGTTATGTGTCATGAGAGCTAGGGGTATAGTTGGCATGCCAAGAGTCGAGGGTCTATGTGGTCCTTCGGGACATATATGTATTCTTTGGAACATGTGTGAAGTCTGGTGAGACACATACTTGATCCCTAGCATATGTATATGATTCTTAAGGAATGATATGTGGTCATTCGGGACATATATGTATTCTTTGGAATATGTGTGAAGTCTGGTGAGACACATACTTGATCCCTGGCATATGTATATGATTCTTAAGGAATGATATGTGGTCCTTCGGGACATATATGTATTCTTTGGAACATGTGTGAAGTCTGGTGAGACATATACTTGATCCCTAGTATATGTATATGATTCTTAAGGAATGATATGTGGTCCTTATGGACATTATTATATGGCACTACGGTGCAACTCTACGCGACACTCCGGTGCAATTATATGTGGCACTTCGGTGCAATTATATGAGCTGTGGTGACAACATTAGTGCACAACCTCTATGTACTCGCATATCTTTAGTTCTCACATATGTATCATGGGCTATTAAATAGATAATATTAATAACGTGACATGATAATATGTTTGTTTCCTTGTGGAATTTCATGTGTGATATTGATTGTACAAATGGTAACTTATAAGACCATATGATGAAAGAATCAATGATAGTGATAAAATGAGAAAGAAATGAAGATGATAATATAGTTGTTTGGGTGTACGTGTTTTATGATAGTATATATATGGTTTACATGACATGATATGTATATGTACAATTGGTTATGATATATGTTATATGATATGGACATAAGAGATCATAGGAACATGAGATAAGAGATATGAATGATAATGACATATATGTATGCATATATTTGTTACATGTAAAAGTATGAGTGGTA